TGGGCCAGTGTGCTCAGGATGCAGGAGGAGGCGGCTCACCCAAGCCACAGCCAGGATCGGCTCCTGTCTTCCGCAGTTCAGCTGTGACCGGAGTGAGGCAGGAAGAACGGTGGTGGTCAGGTTGAATTCTCCCGGCCTGGGCAGTATGTGCAATGGATGGGGTGAGTGGGAGCCAGGCCTGCCGGGAGCCCCTTGTTGTTGCTCAGGCGGCTGAGGGGGAGGAGAAGAGACTGGAACAATGGGCGGGCAGGGGCCAGACCTTGCTAGAGAGAAGGCTTTATCCTGGGCCCCAGGGAAGCCTGGATGTAAAGGGAGAAGGTAGTGCTGGCCGCAGGATCAGCCTAACCTCAGGTGGGTAGTGGTCACCAAGACCAGCCTCCAGTGGTGTGTTAGTCCTGGTGGACTAGAGAAACAAGTTCATAGGCACTCATATGTGTGTAATGGAGAAGTTTATATCAAAGAGTAATTGTATATTAAGAAAACATCCAGTCCAGATCAAGTCCATAAATCCAACATTAGCCCCTCTGTCCAATACCAGTCTGTAAATTCCTCTTCAGACTCTCGCAACACATGCAATGACGCCGAGTGCAGAAAGATCACAGGCCAGTGGGTGGAAAGTCTTGCGGATCCAGTGGCAGTGGAAGCATCTCGGCTCTGACGTGGGTCTGCACGTGGCTCCTCCAGCTCCAAGGTTCTGGCTGCCATCAGCACAGCTCCATGTGGCTTGTCAACAGGAATGTCTCGTGGGGAGCGATTTATCTCCTTCGTGCCTCTGAATGAGGTCATCCAACTTCGACCTGAACGACAAGCTAGAGTCCACCCCTTCGCAGGTTTGCAGGAGATTATGTAACTGCCACAGGTGGATTCCTGTGAGGCAGTCGGACGTACCTCCACCTTCTAATCTGGTGGCGTAGCGGTTATGCGTTGGGCTACTAATCCGATGGTCAGCAGTTTGAAACCACCCGCTGCTTCGCGGGAGAACGCTGGGCCTTTCTACTCCCTTAGACAGTGGAAGCCTCCGAATCCCACAGGGCAGTTCCACCCTGTCCTGCTGGCTCGCTGTGAGTTGGAATCGACTGATGGCATGAGTTGTAATGGCCACACCGAACTGGCAGAACACACAGGGGTTTCTTGAGGGAGGGACAGGGCACAACCTAGGGTGAGGATCAGGAGGCTGTACCCGGGAGCTTGTAGGCAAAGTCACCTTCCCCGGTGCAGGACAGCGCTCTCGGCTCCCAGGGCCTGTGCTTGCCCTGCATCTTGCTCCCCCTTCCTGCATCATCGGTCTGCGGCTATGTCAGGCTGCAGAGGGGCCCCGGCAGGCGTCAGACTTAGGGACTGAAGTCGGACTGGGATGCCTTTTTGATAAAAGATTGCACCCTGATACAAAGCTCTTTCTGATATGTATATGAGGGCCACTGATTTTGTTTTTCTAGAAAACCCAGGCAAGGCGTGCACCCAGGTTGTCTCCCTCTCACCACACTTAGTCCATCTGTGTGCGGAGCAGAACATCAGAGAAGCTGGGCTCCGTGACGAAGAAGGTGGCTGCGGGGTTGGAGGAAGGCTTATGAACCACCTACGATCCGCAGGTGACACCACCTTGCTTGCTGACAGTGAGGCGGAGCTGAAGCACTTGCTAGTGAGGAGCAAGGGGTGCAGCCTTCAGTGTGGATGGCCACTCCCTGTAAAGGAGACCCGAATCCTCACCACTGGACTCATAGGTCACAGCATGTGTGTTTGTCTGGGTACTTTAGAGAAACAAATGCACAGAAACTCATGTATAAGAGAGAGCTTTATTATTTATTTTTAAGAGAGAGTTTTATAGAAAGGTTAAGTGCACATCAAGAAAACATCCCAACCCATTGCTGCCCAAGCCCACAAGTCCAACATTAACCCATTTGTCCGACACCAATCCACAAAGTCTTCCTCCATCTCACAAAACAGAGGCAATGATGCCGACTGCAGGAGGAAAGCCAAATCATTGAACTTGTAAGCGTCTCAGCGCTGGCAGGGGTCTCCACACAGCTGCTCCAGCACCCAAGACTGCATCGGGGTAGGTCCATGTGGCTTCTCCTTGGGGATATCTTGCAGGAAGTGAACTTTGCCAGCTAAAGCAGGGAACTGGCTAAGGCAGCTTCACCCTGGTCCGACCATCCCAAAGCAAGAGACCCGAGAACTAGAAAGGTGAGGCTCACTGAGCTATTTATCCTTCTGCTCTTCAATTAACCCCACATGTGTTTATCGGCCAGGTTGGCA